GCGGCTACGGGCATGTGGGAGGAAGGAGGCGGACCACAGTCGGTGGCGCCGCAGACGCAGCGGGCTGAAGGTTACGTCGTTGTTCCTATCTTTGACGACTGGCTATTCTGAAGTAATGGAGATAATTGACATGTTTAACATGTGTCTGGTCGAGAGAAGCAACGCGATTCCGTCATTATGAAGAAGAGTATGCGTAGAGGAGCCCTGTCGACAGCCCCTTAATGCCGATGGAAGAAAATAAAATCACCTCGACGGAGAGCGGCAGCGAGCCAACTTCGCAGACCACAATAATTCATCAAAGTACAACGTCCCTCTTCTTCCACATCATCCTCGAGATCGTCATCCAATCTACCCGAACCATCCATCTCGTCAATCTCCCGTCGTCGTTGTTTATGCGGGGGGTGGAGGTGGCCCAGATCGTTTATATCTCACGCACCGACAACAGAGCCCTCCGCCCGCTTCCATTGGCCAGGCTCCTCATCGCGAACCCGCCTAGGTTTACTTGGCACGTCTACCCCAGACGCCGTTCGTTCTATTTCGAGCGCCTATCAGTTTACATCTTGCCAACGACCTCTTGGATTTTGGTCTTGATTCGTTTATCTGGGCCTTTGGGGGCCTGTGGAAATAGATTGGGGGCTTCTTGGCTCTCTTAGCTGTTCACGTCAACGTCGTCGCAGGTAAACATGCTGTAGAGTGGCCCAAATGGATCGGAGATTGTGTATATATGCACTCTTCTCCCCTGCGAGGATTCTGTGTAAAGAGCTCCTAAACACACTCGACTCTGACCGAGTCGCTCACGACTCAAATTGCATCGAATCACACACACATTCACATCACGGCGCATGGGAACGCAATGTATAGAAACAGGATTGACTTCCAGGGCAAGTTCCCCCCTTCTTACAGAACAGAGATAATCAACACTAAAAATCTATATATGATGTCCACACAAAAAAGGGGTCTGAGAGAGGTAGGTTTGGAGAGAGGAAGAGACAAGTGGCCGTCACACAAAACAGACTTTCGCTCGAATATCTCCGTCCAGGTTTCGTTCCATAACGTCAAGAGTCGTAGCCGTGTCCCTCGGATTAGGGACTGGCTCAGAGGATGCCAAAAAGGGGGGAGAAGGTTTGATTTCTTTTTTGCCTGTCCACGTTGTCTAAGAAGGCGGGTTGAACATTAAGACCAATCAATGGCCGCGGGCACGGAGCGGTAAGGCGATTTCAATCTTCCCCATCCGAAAAAGACAGAAAAAAAGGGGGTCGCGTTTTTGCTCTGCTTCCAAGTTTCCACAGCAAAAAAGTCGTCCAAGGAGAGACAAGAAATTCGGTTCCGATTCATTTGGCCTGCGGCTGTGCCCCAAAGGCAGAAGAAGGGGGACCCATGGAAGGCGCCCCTTAGAATCCACGGTAGCCTGCCTTCTCATCGATGTGGCGATAGCGCTCGCGCTCCTTGCGGTCCTTGAGGAGCATGGCGGTGCAGACGACGAGGAGGGCGTCGATGCCGACCATACCGAACACAGCGGTGAATATGTTGTCGACGAAGACGTTGGCGAAACTCGTGATCGGGGCGGCGCAGCCCTTCTGGAGTGCAGCGGCGGCAGGGCTAGGGCACTGAACATCGGTGACGAAGGCAGGAGACGTGCTGTTGAAGTATCCACAGCATTGGAACTAGCCGGTGTTAGTCCGCATTCTTCTGGTATACAGTCGCCGAGGGCACTTACAGCAGTCTGCATGAGTTCTTGAACGCTAGGGTCGGCGGCAATCCAGAGCTTGCCAAAGTCGGCCTTGGTGGTGAGAGTCGTGACCCAAAGGTAGGTTCCGAGGACCAGACTGAAGAGGCCGCAGAAGGTGACGAGATAGCCCGAGAGCTTGAGCCATCCACGGGCGGGAGTGATCATACCCGGGATGGTCATTAGGAAGGTGACGAAGATGAAGACGGCGTTGACGACACCAGCTGCTTATTGTTAGTGCTTCATGTTTCCACGATAACCCCATCGCCGAAGCATCGCATTGGCGCCCGAGTACGTACCGGTCAGAGGGAATTGCTTCGTGAGCAACTTGGTGGCGGCCTCGACGCCCTCTTTCGGTGCTTCGTTCACGGTGTTTTGGTTGATGAGGGAGTAACCGAGGAGAATGGCTCCGGTGATGACGAAGACTGCGTCGGCGGCCACGTAGGCCAGCAGCACCTTGTTCGCCATGGCGGTTTGCTGTCGTGATAATGAGCAGCCACGAGACCCGAGAGAGAGTTGTCGCCCGGAGAGACTTGGCTGCCCCTCAACCGTTCCAGATAATCCTCCTCTTAGATTGTCCTCCTCTTTCAAATAGATTTAAGATTTTCGAGGTTTTTTGGTTGACGACCGGCGTCTTTGTTTACGGACTCAAAAATCGTATGCTGGTTCGTCGGGGTCGGTGTCGTGGGTAAGGACTGTCTTCGACCAGCAAAAATACACGGAACCTCCACGACCCAGCGGGGGACGATCGCAACGGTAAAATAAAAAGGTATAGAAAGAGAGAAGGTGACGAACCGAAGGTATCGCCAAAGAAGTGAATAAGGTCGGATTGAACGATTGTACAAGAAGATGAGTATGGCCAAAGGTCGCTCTCCAAAAGGAACCCGGCTTCGCATAGGACTGGGAGGAGAAGAAGGGGAGCGAAGGAGTAGAGGCGCAACTGGAAGTCTGAGGAGGTGGAACGGGAGAGCGGCCGGTATCCACAGTGCTGTCTCGGACGAGACTGAGACCTGAGAGACTTGAGCTGGCCAGGGAGACCCCAGAGGAGAATCGCCAGATTCTTGGTGGCAGGAGAGGGGCCCGTATCGAGAAGGGAAGTCAAGAGAGTGGACGAGAGCCAGTGAGAGGACGACCAGGGGTGGGCGGCTCTTGGGTTGTCTTGGTGGTGGTCTTGGTCAATGGTGGCAGCGTCCGGTGGGTTACGTATTGGGGCGCGGCGGCAGGGACCCCTCTCGACTTTTCGGTGGCTCGAACAGCAGATGGGAGAATGAGAAACGCACCAGAAACAGCTGGGGACCAGCCCACCGGTGTCACACTGTGTCTAGCGCACTGGAAAAGGGGAAGAAAGGGAGGAAAGGATAGTGCGAAAAGAGACTGCCAGAGGGGCAGGACGGACTGTGGACGAGGAAAGGGAGGTCGTGATGATTCGAATTCCCTGACGAGACGTGTTTCAGGGCCGAGGGGCGCCCTCATGCAGGCGGTACAGGCACGCGCCAGTGCAAGAGCCGTGCAGCCACCGATCCGGGGCTTATGGCCAATCATGACGCTCGAAATGTCCAAGAGTCGCCTGATTGGGGTGGTCGTCCGTTTGGCCCCGTTGCTTAGGGCTGCTGCTGGCTGGCTTGGGCCTGCCGCAAGGAATCCGCTGACCTAAGGCCGTGAAAGTCACTTTTCTATGCAAATCAGCACAAACGATACATCCTCCCGATCCCAAGCGCTGCCTTATGTAAGGTCTCCTGCCCACTTCACGTGGCAAAGCATGGCTGATGCCTGCTACACCGGGGCTTACTTCAGCGGGAGCGACGATTGCAAGGGAACCAAACGCGAACTGCACTGCTGAGTCTGGACGACGGACTTACATCATCGTCTCTGGAGCAAAAGAGAAACAGGAGACGACCAGCCAGCAGAGCCTCCCTCTTCTCTCCTCGAAGCCGTGGACCCTTAGCACGTCGAATATGCGCTGCACGGCATTACGGCACTTGCAGAGGAGCCGTACGCGACATCAGCCAGCGAGACATGTCGCAACCGCTCGCCAAAATACCACTCTACACGCGCGTCCATTCTCCCTCCCTCCCGTTCATCGGTCAACTTTTCCCCCTTCACACTTCACAAAACCACGGCTTCCTCCGAGCTCTAGCGCCCGGCGCCTCTCTCTCGTACGAATGACCCCGGAGCAACTCTACGGATTGAGGCGAGGTTGTTAATTGATTTGCCCCTCATGGCACCATCTCGCCCAACCATGTCGCTGTTCTTCAGCGGCGGTGGCACGACATTACCGCCCGCCTACGTCCAATTTCCATACTCTTGGCTCCCCTGGCGAACCATGCTTAAAATGCTGGACACTTGCTGCAGGCCGTCTCCACTACCTTACTCTGATCAAGGTGTGTGCCGGAGATGGGCGACTAAAAAAGGCGCTGTGGGCTGCGGTTGCGGTGGTGCTCGGGAACGACGCCAGGGATCAGGGCCGTTAGTGCCATCTCGGGCCCTCTTCTCTTTTTGCTGCTGTCTCTCTTCATTTCGTCCGTCCGCTGCCCCGACTGCGCCGCTGAAGGTCCAGAGCCTCAACATGAGGAATGTGATTTTCATACACGAATTGCTTCCAGGTTTGTTTGGACGCCCAGACCTGTCATTCTCGCTTCTCGCTTCTGCTCCTTGCATCTCATCGCGTTGTCGTCTCCTTGCAGCCGCAGGAAACCCTCCAAGTGGGCATTAAATGCACAGCCGTTGACGCGCCTGAAGGCCCTGCATCATGTTTCGCCCAACTTGCGCTCCCGTTCCCGTTCCGTTGCGTGTGTCGATTCATGGGATCATGAGAAACGAGAGCGCGAGCCTCGGGAAACACCCAACTCCACCGGCAACTCAATGCCGTGCGCGGATAGGGCTACATTGCATCTTGCGGCTCGTCTTCTTCGACTCTTGGTCTGTGACTGTTCCCACGTCTGACAATTTCATGGTTCGCTACCAAGATCGACTGCTGATTGCTGAGGGGCAATTCGTTTCGATGTGCACTTTTTCCCTGGAGCTGCACATTTGCACGTTGGCTGCTCAGTCCTTACAAACAAGACCAGGCTGACTCGATGAAACAGCGAGGTCTGATTTCATTCACATATCCGGGAGAAACTATTAAGGAGTTATACTTGCTTTCAGTCGAAATTTTCATCGTACGCTAAAATGGACGAGACGTTCCTCTCGACCGTTGAGTCACTAAAAAAGCCACCCAACGGCGTCGGTCTGACGCTCACCGCCACATCTGCACAATCCGCAAAAAGGAATGGGCCCTAACCAGGGATCGAACCTGGGACCTCTCCCAGACTGAATCGTCGAATCGACAACCCTAAGGGAGAATCATACCGCTAGACCATCAGGGCTGATTTTGATTGAAGCAAGCTCGCTGCTCGTTGGGGACGACCGGGTGAAAATTCACTCATGTCGGGAGTGTGTGGTGTGGTGCGGTGGATTCGCACGACTAAGGGCAACGAAGACGCGACAGGGATGGTCCCGAAGGACGGAATATCGGAACGGCCTGAGACAACTGCAACGGCTCCAATGGAGTGAGCAACCCGCTTCTGCCCGTTCACTACCCTGCGCCACGTTCTGGCATGTCGGAGAATTGTCGATCAACTCGGTCTACTATCGAACTTCATGGCCGCGTTCACTTCCCTGCCCTAGCAGCTCCTATCTATCGGCAATTACGCCCCCAACAACTGCGCGTCCACGCTAGCAGTATGGCAGTGAAGTATCAGAGCAGCTCCCAGGGATGAACTTCTGGCCCGCCTTCGGCCGGTCGGCTTCGAAAAGCTGCGCCGAAGGGTCTAGGATCCGGTCGGTGATGTGAACAGTACCCTGGTTTTAATCCGTTGGTCAGTCATGCCGCGAGGGGTGACAGCAGCGCGTACCTTGGTTACCCTCAAATCCCCCTCTGTGACTGTTGCTACGTCGTTCAGCCACAGCGTGCCGTCTTTGATCTGCGTCCCGATGTACAGATACGACCCGGCCTGTATCCGCGACGCTGTCTCGTTGAAGACGCTGATGTTGAGCTGCGTGTTGGGGATGTAGTGGTGCTGTATGAGATTGCCTAGCCACCACTTGCCCTTGGGTGTCAGTGTGAAAGTGTTGAAGTACTGGCCTGTGTGCTTTGCAAAGGCCTCATTGGAAGGGGCGAAGAAGGTGAAGTCCCATGTGGGGGTTGTGTCGAATGCCTCAAGGAAACCTGCCATTCATCAGCTTCATTCCCTGGGTGGCCGCGATGTGCTCTCAGAGGTTTTGTTACCTGCTGATCCATTCAGGACTTTGGCCAATTCGGTCAAGTCGCTTCTGGACTTTACGAAGTCCAACAGTGTAGTCACATCGTCAGCTTTCGCGGGCACGTACGTGCCGTCTGGCTTCGGGGCATACGACAGCGGCCGTCTATCAGAAGAACCCGCAGCACAGACAGGCCCGAAGATTATAAAGCCCAAGACCGTAGACAACTTCATGACGAGATTTCTTGAGGGCAAAGCTTCTCAACCCGTGGCGAAGGTTGGTCCGGGATTCCTACTTATATTCTTGCATTCCCGTAGTCCTCCATCAAGAAAAAAGGGCCTAGGCAGACAAAAACCGGAGCACAGTCTCCCGGGCCGGCGCCGAGCCCCGACAATCATCCCGGAGTTGCGGGGTACAGCTTTACCCCGACGTCCCCCGCAGATCATCGGCGAATCGGGACAACCCGCATCGGAGGATTCACCGGACGATTCAGGGGAGTGACGAGTTTGCTATGTGCCATATTTCTTGATATTTGTGGCTACATGCTGGTATATGAATGTGAATATCAAGATGAGCTGGCGGATATTGGACATTGGGTCTGTCTAATCTTGTCCCTGTCGCCGGCACCATGATTTTCTTGCTTTGCTTTCTCGTCACAGCTGCAGCTCCGACCCTGGGAGCTCCTGGAGGCATGGCTTCACGGCCGCAGATGGGTAAGCCTATAGCGCAGCACGCGAGCAGCTTGGCAAACTGATGTTGCAGCAGGATGGAACTCCTGGAATACATTCAAGGCAAACATCAACCAGTCCATCATCGAAACCACGGCCAAAGCCCTCGTTGACACGGGGCTTGCAGCAGCAGGCTACAAGTACCTGATCATGGACGAAGGCTGGCAAGCTGACGAACGTGCTACGGACGGGCGCCAAGAGTTCAACTCCACGCGTTTCCCCTCGGGAGGCTCAGCTCTCATCAACCACATTCACGACATGGGCCTCAAGGTCGGGATATACAGGTGTTTAGGGCCCTCTTTCTTCACATTCGGCAGATCAACTGACATCTTGTCTTCACAGCGACTCCGGAATCTTCACCTGCGGCTTCGCTCCCGGAAGCTGGGGTTACGAGGACCTCGACGCCCAGACCTACGCGGACTGGGGCATCGACTACCTCAAGTACGACAACTGCGGCGGCTTCCACGCGGGAACGCACACGCAGCAGGAGCGCTTCCAGGCCATGTCAAGCGTCCTCCGCAACACCGGCCGCGACATATTCTACTCGCTGTGCCAGTGGGGCCACCAGTTTCCGTGGTACTGGGCCGACCAGGTCGGCGCGGGGTCGTACCGCATGTCCGGGGACATCCACGCCTCCTTTGCGCAGGACAAGGCCGGCGTCTGCCCGACCGCGTACTGCCTGAACACGGGATATGCGGGGGTGAGCGTGCTGACGATGATCCGGAAGATGAGAGAAATATCGCCGTTTCAGGAGAAGGGGCGGATGTCGTGGGCGGATATGGACATGCTTGAGGTTGGCGTCGGGAATGTCATGAGCGAGGTCGAGGAGCAGACGCACTTTTCGTTCTGGGCGGCGTTGAAGTCGCCGCTTATTATTGGTGCTGATGTCACAAAAATTCGGAAGGAGTCGTTGAAGGTTCTTCTGAACCGGGACATTATTGCCATATCTCAGGACCAGAGGGGCGAGGCGGTGAAGTATTTGCCGGAGTTGTCGACAGAGGGCAAGGTGCAAGTCTGGGCAGGGCCTGTCGACACTGGAGAGTATAGACACGTGGTGCTGGCGTTGAATTATGGGAACGATCTGGCAAATATCAATGTGCCGCTTGATGGCATCGGGCTGGAAAAAGGGTGTACTGTTGGGGTGAAGGTGAGGGAGGTTTGGGCGGCGGAGGATGTGGAAGTTTTGGAGGGCAAGGTTTTGTTAAAGAACGTGGAGGTTGGGCAGACCAAGGTGCTCTTGATATCTTGTTGATCTCAAAGGTTTGATCATGGGAGATCTCTGTATTTTGCATCGATGACACCACTCGAGTATCGTGTTACAGTTTTGCATCGACTTGTTTTGACACAGCTTTACTCTTAGGATGCCAGGCGTTGAGTCCAAAATAATGCGAAGTACGATATAATAAATCCACAAAAGAAGCTGGTAAGAAGGTCTAGAAATACGCTTCAAACACAAGATCTCGAGTACTCAGTGATAGAGTCTGCTGTTGACTGTAAAGTTGGTATGGTTATCTTCGCAGCTACCTATATTGTCTCGAATTGGAATCTGGGAAGAAACGCCCAATCACTTCCAAAGCAAGCAACGGGTTCAATGCTTCACGCTATCAGGAATGTAACCGTCATCTATGAAGAACACAGTACTGCTCTTTGGTTCTTTCTTTTCTCGCCACTTCGTTTTTAATCCTTCCTACAAAAGTAAACTGCACGTTCATTCCAGTACATGCTTCCTTACTCGAGAGCCTACCACATATCTAACAACCACACCAGGAAATTCGGTCGAGCACTATCCGCTTGTTGTTCAAAGATTTCCTGTCGCGTCTTAACGCGGGGGATCCGAATTGCGGAAAGATGATGCTAGATGGAACATGGTGTGGCCTCCACCGACCGGAGCCGGGGCATATACCGGAGCATTCTCCGACGGCGCCGATGAACACACTACCATAGCACATCATCATTATTGACGATCTCTCTAATGGTCCGACGGCCCGAAATCTCTGCCGAGAACGAATTCGTGTTCTTGGCATGCTCTGCGGAGGGCAACAAGGCAAGTCACGCCTAAGGGAGTTCTTTCTCGTGACTAAGTCCGTTTGGGAGGAGCGCCTACTTGAAAGGCTTGCCCCAAACATGAGGGTCTTCTGAGCTTCCAGAAATTCTAACTTGGTCGAATCTTTAGTCCAAGATCTCTTGCACATTACGTGGCGGACTTGACCCTTTCAAGTTGATATCTGAGACTATGGCGCCCGACACAGGTACAACTACCGGCGTCAAGAGAGGCTGTGCTGGATTTGAATCGACTACGAGTGGGACTGCTTCGGTAAGATAAAAGAATTCGTATAACAAAAGGGTTAGGACTAACATGGCAGATTAGATGCAGAAACGCAACAAGGTCTACCACGAGCATGCAGAAGAGGCAGACGGTCTAACTACTCCTCCTCTGTCAACGAACAGTAGCGAGATACCCTTTTCGTACATGCTCTTTTCTCCAAAAGCAGCTGCCAAAATATGGGGTGTTGCCCAGCAGAGCTTTTCCTCAGTAAGCAGATGCAACCGCCCTTCGCGGGCTGGAAGTGGCAGGCTGACAGACTATCCCAAGCCCGCGCCGCCAACTTTGTTTCCGGAGTACACCAAGCCAGGTGGCACAAAGTACGTCTATAGGGAGCTGGACTTCTGGACGTCGGGATTCTTCCCAGGATGTCTGTACCTCCTTCTAGAGCGACGACGGAAGCATACCCATCTGCTGAGGCATCTGGAACAACCCGGCGGACAAGAACCCCACCAGATGCATCTGGAGTAAGATTGCAATTTCTCAAAACAAGATTCTTGATTTGACCCAGACTACAGGTTCGCCTGTACATGGTGGACGGAAAACCTCCATCCCAACGCACATCTTACGACGACCCATGACCTCGGTTTCATGATTTTCCCATGGGCTCGTCCGGCATGGGAGCTGAATCATGACCGGCGGGCGTTCGAGTCCGCCATCACGGCCGCGAAGTCTCTCTATAGTCGATACGACGGCACTGTCGGATCGGTTCGGTCCTGGGACGTCTGCGTTACCAAGCGGTACAAGTTCCTAGATCCAAACAAAGACTTTCTTGTCATCATTGTGAGGGGTCCCCGGCACATATAGTCACCGTCAGGAGTACTAATTGCCCCTCTAGGACAACATGATGAACCTCGACATGGTCTTCTGGGCTGCTGCCCAGCTCGGAGACCAGGACATGTACAATGCCGCTGTCAAGCATGCCGAAACGACCCGGACCCATCACATCCGCGAAGACTTCTCGACATTCCACGTGGTAAATTTTGAACAGAAGACCGGTGTGCCGAAGGAGAAGATCACCAACCAAGGCTACTCCGACACGTCCTCCTGGTCGAGAGGCCAGGCGTGGGCCATT